AAAAACACACAGCCCCAGCGGGTGCCTGTTACTCTGGTGCCTGACCAGGATTCCAACAGGAAAGAAGAAAGGAGAGAAAATCACCGGGGCCTGGCCGGATGGGCCAGGGAAGGGGTGCAGAGCACGGAGCGGCCCTGCCAAGGTGGGAGCTATGGCCCAAACTTGGAGCATTTTACCCAAAATATCTCTCTGTCGAAATGCAATTAAAAAAATATTTTTTTTTCTTCCACTTTGGGTCAAGGTGGGAAAAGCACAGGCTGGGGGGCTGTTTGTACGGCTTTGTGTTTTCTCTGTGTTTTTTTATTATTTTGTTTCACTGAGGCATCAAAATTTGCACTTTAAAGGAGAAGCCGATCATTTGATCTTGGCTGCACAGAGAGCAGAAGAGCAAAACCCGGCGCAGCGGAAACGGGGAGGTGTTTGCACAGGGGGCAGCGCTGGCCCCGCCGCTGCCCCCGGTGGTCCCGCTCCTTCACCTCGGCTTTGAGACGCTCGATCTCGATCTCGCCGTCCTCGATCTGCTGCCGCAGCTGTTTGGCCACGGTCTTCTCCGTCTCCACGATCTGGAGCAAATGCAGGTACTTCTGCATCAGGGCTTCGTGCTCCGTCGCCAGGTTCCTGTAGCTGGTCCCCATGCCCGGCCACCAGCGCCATCCGCCTGCAGCCCCGCTCGCTCCGTGCAGCCCTGCTCGCCCCATGCATGGCCCTGCTCGCCCTACGCGCAGCCCTGCGTGCAGCCCGGTGCGCAGCCCTGCTTGCATTCCATGCACAGCCCTGCTCGCCCTGCACACAGCCCTGCTCGCCCCATGCACGGCCCTGCTCGCCCCACGCGCAGCCCTGCGTGCAGCCCGGTGCACAGCCCTGCTTGCAATCCTGCACACAGCCCTGCTCGTGCTGTGCAGCCCCACATGCAGCCCTGCTCGCCCCGCTTGCAGCCCCACTCTGCCCCAGGCTCCCCACGCCAACAGTTCACCCCACAGATGCCCTCCTGCCCCCAAAGCCAATTTTCCTCCCTCCCCACAGTGCAGCGAGGAGCAGGACGCCTGTGGCATCGGTTGTGTCACCAGTGTCCCCATGGCCAAGGGCACAGCAGATGCATTCACCCAGCACCCGAGCACCCCGGCCCCTGCAGGACCCTGCACCACGGGCCGGTACCTGGCATGGGCAATGGCCGCGACCCACTCGTCACAGTCCTTGGCGTCCTCCGTCCTCAGCTCCAGCGTCTTCTGGTTCTCGTGGTTGAAGTTCACGGTAAAGTAGTGCTGCAAGAGCCGGCGGATGCAGTGTTACCACCACGGACCGGCCACGGGCGTGCGGGGGCCGCCGGTGT